TGTATATATATATATATATATATATATATATAGGGGGCGGTTCAGGTGAGAATGCACCTTGGTGAAAGAAATAAGAATAAAATCTAGCCTTTGGATCGGATGCATCGTGTGGCTCAGATTGCATCCTGCACTCAGATTCTAAGATAGTGTATTATTAAAGGATTTTGGTGCATTTCGACATGATGCATTTTCAAATCATTTTGGTGCACCAAATTTTGATGCAATCATAATCCTTAGATCTCACAATCTAAAGCACCAGATTCATTTTTATTTCTTTCATAAGATTGCATTCTCACCTGATCCAAAATCTATATATATATATATATATATATATATATATATATATATATATATATATATATATATATATATATATATATATATATATATATATATATATGTTCACACCCATTAACATAACACATTGGTGTGGTTTATCAAGTGTAATTGAAATGAGAAGATACAGCTATTTTGAGATGAATTTAGCATTAATCAGCATATTACTAGTAATTCGTAATGTAACAGTTTTTTTTACAAATCACAAATTTAAAGTAATTTAAAAGACACGATTGAGTAATTCCAAGTCGCACAAAAAGCATTCAACTTAAAATGTTAAAAATATACTCCGTAACAAGCGTAAATGTATAATTACTTTATTAGCTTAACATTTTAATACTTCTTACGTCTCAATTTAAGTTGTCTGTTTACGAGGTTTAATTGAAAATATTGTTCAATTCAATTTATTTTAAAATTTATATGGAATTGAAAAATACAAGTTATATATTTAAAACCACATAAAAAATTTTACAAAACAAGAAGTGATCAGACTATTATTTTTTCAAATGAGTAGGAAAAATTGAAAAAGAATGTGGTTGTGGTTATATTTTGTAAATAGTAAACAAGCAATTTAAATTGTGACAAAGAGAGTAATAACATTTTGTTTTAGGATATTTGGTTCTTATTTTTTGACAACTCGTCTTGAACGGTACCATTTTGAAAATGGAATGATTTAGTTCGAGATATAATTGCTACAACCATTTGAAAATAATTTTTCTCCACTCCTACAATGCCTCGGCATTGCACGACTTATGTTTCGGAATGAGTCCTGTGTTCAAATTTGTTGGAATTTCGATATTTGATGCATGGAAATAGGAGTGTATTCCATATTAACTTATGAGATTGTTTTTTAATCCCGAGATTGTTTATGTGTACAAATGCACGAATACTCACTCGCCGGGATCGCAAATCGAAGAAAAACAAAATTTACTAGGTCTAATTGTGTTCTATATAACCAGAATCAAGTGTGAGTGGGAAGGAAGATATTAACGAAAGTCGTAAGTTAAATTATCTTGAGATGAGATAATTTTTCACTAGGGAATGAGAATATCATACATGCATTTCTCACATGCACAAAATTATGTTCACTTTTACACACAGCGAAATGTCAAGGTGTCATCAAACATGAAAACAAGCTTAGAATAAAAGCCGTAAATTAATTGCACTCTCACTTGTCATAAATGTTTTTACCCGCCCCTAAAAATTTAAGTCTTAAGCTGACGTAGCAAAGAGAGAAATTTTGAAGCCCCGAGGCTTCACGGGTATTTCCAGTGCTCTAAAAAATCAACATCAGCATGAGTATATATATCTTAGAGTTCTTCTAGATACCCTTGACAACACACTTGTTTTCATAATCATTATTATATTCATTTTTTCAAATCATGGTTCAATCATTCATAATTATCATTCTAATCAGAATATTCATCAAGGTTTAATCATCATAATCATCAATCAATAATAATCATCATGATATTCAATAACAAATAGCGGCCAAGCGCCGAGTGTTAACACTCTATCTTATCGTCATGCATCAAACAAGGTTCTTGAATTCTTCAAAATATCACATTTATTTACAGAAATCATATTAACATTGATCATAATTGATTGGTATCAAAAATAGGATTTAATAGTTCAAAAATTGGATTTTCTGGAAAAATATCGTATCTGACGGTACCCCTCACGGTACCTTGGTACCGGCGCACGGTACCTCGCTACCGCCCAGACGGTACGGGGTAGCGCCTAGCATCAGGTACCGCCAGAGAAGCAGCGGTCAACAGTAGCATCTCTACCGTTCCGGCTCTAGTTGGGTACCGTTTTGTTGGGGAATTGACGCGAGTCTCGAACTCTTTCCCCGATTCACACAACCAAAGTCTTGTACACTCACACACACTCAATAATACAAAGACACGACTTTAGAAAAAAACTTTGTATTATATAGAGAAATGTACAAGAGAGATTACAATTACACGGGTAGCACACTTCACTCTTTGTATTAGGAACACCTCACTCACAAGCACTCTCAAGAAGCTTTCTTGGTTCTTCACTCCCTTCTTCCTCCACACTCATTCCAAATGAGGCATCCACACCCCTATTTATACTCCTCACCAAGGCTAGGCTTCTCTAGAATGTTCCACACATCTCTTTATCTCTAGAATCTTCTAGAAAGTCTCCACATGCTTCCATAATGTTCTAGAAGAATCTAGAGGACTCCACATAGTTCTAGAATATTCTAGAGAACACTACATTCTTCCACACGCTTCTAGAGACTTCTACACTTCTTTAGAAAGCTCTAGAATATTCTAGAAACTTTTAGGCTATTCTACACATTTCTAGAGACTTCTACACTTCTCTAGAAAATTCCACAACATTCTAGAGAATTCTACACATCTCCACCATCTTATAGAATTCTCTAGAATCTCCCCTCTCACAAACCTTTGGAAATATTGAATTAATATCCTAACACGTTTGAACGGTACCTAGCTACCGTGCCGGCGATAGCATGTTACCGTGCACTGTTCAACTTCTTCCTCGGGTCCATTTTTGAAAATATCATTTTTAGTCACCAAACTTTAATTAAACTATATGGAAATGTTCTCCGAGGTTCATAGATCATTTTGGTTTCATTAGTTCATAGTTTTAACAATAATTTCAAGGTTTATGATTCTTGGGTCTTCGAACATGTCAAACGCAAAACTCAACCAAACGACCGTTTATGAACGTAAAAATGATCTATACGAACATTGTAGTTACTAGATATATCTGACATCATATTTTTGGGTGTTTGACTTTGACAAAGTCAAAATTTATTTATTTGACCTTTATTCAGAAAAGGTTCTCGCATTTAATTCATATTATTTATTCTAAAGATTTATTTCAATAAATCATTTCAAACTTCACATCATAAATCAAATTCTTTATTTATTCTTAATTTGGTTGTACTCTGGTTCGCAATCAAGATTACACAAATAGTCAACATTTTGGGTTCGGGTTTATTCGGATTGTGATATTGAATATCAAAACATATTTCATTTTGGTTCAAAGCCCAACAATAATTTATTTTATTCAAAATAAATTTGTTTAATTGAATAATTATTCATTAATAATTTTAGAATATGTCTTGGGGCGTTACACAAATAATCAATAATTTGTTCGTAGTGTTTTTTTATGGATGTAATAGTTTTATTTACTGAATGTAATTTTTTCAATGAATGTAACTTTTTTATGGATATAATATTTTTTTTAATGAATGTCATTTTTTTAATAAACTATTCTCCTTTGAATTCTTTTAAATAATTAAATAATTAAATTTTATTAATTTAATTTTACAAGATATATTTAAAATGTTAAAAATAAAGGTTTGAAGCCCTAGTTTGAAGCAACGGAGCTTCAAACCCATTTCCACTGAAATTTTGAGGTAAGTTAAAGCTGACGTGACAGAGAGGAGGTTTGATACCCCGGGGCTTGACGGGTATTTTCAGTGCCCTAGCGATGGATATTCATTCTTATTTTCTTTCATAAGATTTCATTCTCATTAGAACAAAAAACTTTTATATATATATATATATATATATATATATATATATATATATATATATATATATATATATATATATATATATATATATATATATATATATATATATATATATATATATATA